AGACAATGAGATCAGCCTTTGAGATTCCAAGGTCACAGTGAGGTACTGGAGAAGGATTTTAATAGAGACATAATAATATTAATAATAGGTTGTTGGGGCAGCTAGGTGGTGCAGTGGATAAAGCACCAGCCTTGGAGTCAGGAGGACCTGAGTTCAAAGCTGGTCTCAGACACTTGACATTTACTAGCTGTGTGACCTTGGGCAAGTCACTTAACCCCATTGCCTCACCAAAAAAAAAAATAATAATAACAGGTTGCTTTTCTCTAGCAATTCATGGTTTACAAAGCAATTTCTTTCTAACAAACCTGGACCTATGTGCTTTGGTTTTGTTTTGTTTTTTAAATAGATGTTCCTCATGGACAGAGACACCATATACATACACACATATTTTTATTCTGCTTGTATTGAGCACATAAACAAATGTTCATAGGAGCTGTGATATCATCTCTATGAGGAATACCTATAAAGAGAACTTCCTCAACCAAAGCAAATCAGCATCTCATCTGTGCCTTAGTGGACACATCCTGTGATGGCATGCAGAGATGAAATGACTTGCCCAGGGTCATTTCCATTTCTCTTCTCTAAGTGTCAGTTTCTTGACCTGTTTTTTCTGTCGTTGAGAACATTACTTTGAAAAATAGTTTAAAAGCTAACCAAAGCACAGGATCTTGTGTTCTGTAAACACAAGGGGGCAACAGAATCTCAGACACTTGAGTAAATCTGTTTCTGGCCTTTATTAATACTGAAGAAAAAGGCTCATGTCCGAAAGTAAAGGTTTTTTAATTCTAGGATCATACCTCATAAGATTTAGAATTGAAAGAGATCTTCCGGTCAAGCTGCTTCATTTTACAAAGGAAGAAACTGAGACCTAGGTAGGTTAGGTCTTATTTGTATGTGTAATTTAGAAAACTTACAATGTTCAGGGAAATCTAATTCATATGAATTTTGAAAATGTTTCTTCCATATCAACTGTTACTGTTCCTTCATTCAGTTCAACAATTCGGATCAATCAGGGTAGGGTAGTATTAAAAGAACTGGAACTGGCATCAGAAGACCTGGGTTTGAATCCTGGCTTTATGACCTTTATGACCTTGGACAGGTTCGGGAAGAGGGTTGGAGGTGGGCAGGAAGAAAACTAGATTATCTTTGAGTCCCCTTTCAGGTCTAAACTCTATGATCCAATTCACCAATAACAAACACATTTATTTAGCACCTTCTGTGTATAGAACAGTGTGCTCAACAGCTGACAATACTTACAAAGTTTTGGTAAAAGATACCACCCCATCCTTCACGGAGCTTATAACCAATCATGTTGCATTTACTGCCACATTAAACTTCAAGCCCCTTCAAGTCAGGGGCTGGGCCATTTCTCATCTCTTTCCCCAACACCAGGCACAGGGTCTGGAATATAATGTAGATTCATAGAAGACAGGGTGTTTGAGTTTCATAAATCCCGTAGGGAAACTGTCTAGTCAAACCCCACTATGAAATATGAACCTTCATCACAACATCCCAACAATAATAAACATAAAGCACATTTGTATCATACTTTTCACAAAACAAACCATGGAATGTAGATAATTGCAAGTATTTTTCTTTCTTTTTTTTATTTCAGAGAAGGAAAGCAATGATGAGAGGCCAAGTGACTGGCCCAGGGTCATACAGTTGGGGAGTATTGAATTCAAATGCAGCTCTCCTGTCTGTCAAGTTCCACTATACCTACCACTATCCCATTAAAAGAGGATGAATTCATTTTTGACTTGGTCATTTTTAGGTTCCAGCTTGGGCAAGTGACTGGAAATGTTCATAAGGCAGTTGAAACAAGACTGGAGCTTAAGGGTCAAATTGGCACCAGAGATAAAGGTTTGGGAATCAGTATTGATCATTATTGAAGCAATGGGAATCAGTGTGATTCATTTAGTTCAATTCAATAAACATTTCCTTAAGTAAATGATGTGGACAATTCTACTCAGTGAGCCTCAACTAGAATTCTTTTGGTAATAAGGAACTCACTCCTTCTTAAAGTAGATAACTTTAATTGTTAGGATGTTCTTAATTTAGGGCTGAAATCTGCATCCCTCCCTTTATTTTGGAAGGGAATAATAATTGGCATATGGGAAGGAAGCAATGGATTTTTTTCCCCTCCCCTCAATTTAGCAGATCTTTGTAGCCCAGAACAGCATCTGCATGAACTGGGTAGTCAAAAGACCCACTTATATTGATTCCTTCCCTGTCCTCTTTGACCCACTGCTTATTAATCTGGAGACAATTTGCTGCCTTCACAGAGTTGCTGGAGATAATAATGAGCTAATCTGTATCATCTAATCCTATTATTGTTTGAGCTTAGGTTGTGCTACCGCTGATTTGGTCAGTGATCTGGAGACCAGGGACTGCCCCATTTACAAAATCAAGATCATGATGATACCTTTCCTTAGGGGACTTTTGGATGAATCAATAAAATGCCCTGAAAAATACTCTCCCATTGTATTATGAATGGGACTCATTATTGTGGACTAAATATTATCAATGGACTAATGCTAGTTGTAGCTGCTGGTTGTAATGCTGTTAAAAAACAGTTTAGATTTTTTATTTTCTTGCAGCCCTGACGTTCTGTGATTCTTAGCTTTCATTCATTCATTCAATAAATATTAAGCACCCACTATATGCCAGCTTCATAGTTCATAGAATCTTTGACTTAAAAAGAGACCTTTGACTCAGAATTTGATCTTTAATCACCAACCCAATGTTTGGATACCCTCACACTCATGATGGAAAAATGATCTCCGCATCTAGACAGAGAACTGGTGGACTCAGAGTGCAGATTGAAGCATATTTTTTCTCTTTGTTTTTCTTGGTTTTGGGGGGCGGGGAGTGTGGGGAACATGGCTAATGCAGAAATATGTTTTGCATGACTTCATCTGTATAATGGATATCATATTTCTTGCCTTCTCAATGGGGGGGGAGGGCTCGCAGGGAGGGAGAGAATGTGGAACTGAAAATAAAAAGATAATTGAATTAAGAAAAAAAAAAGAAAGAATAGCCTAGCCACATCTCTGACAAGTAGCCATCCAGGCTGCTAATTGAATACTTTCAGTAATGTAGAACTTGCTACCTCAAGACAATGTATTTCATTGTTTGAGATCTTTAGCTTTAAAATGGGCTTCCATTTATTAAGCTGAAGTATATTTCACTGTAATTAATACCCCCTGGGACTCCTTGGAGGGCTTTTCTTCTGCCCTCTGCAGCCTCCATTCTTAATTCTGCTTCTGCTTTTGAAGATAGCTATTATGCCAGCCGTTATTTATTAATCATAGCAACAGCTGATTAGTAAAGTGCTTTAAATACATTATTTATAAAATTTATTTCAATTAAAATCCATTTTCTCTCCCTTCTACCTCCCCCCCATTGGGGAGAAAAAGAAAAACAAAGTCTTTTTTGCAAATGCTATCAAATTTGATTCTCACTGACAATTCAGTAGGGTAGGCAGAGCATTTATTATTGTCATCTCTTTTTTATTAAAAATTAACTTCATTTTTTTCTCCCTTCTTTTTCTCCCTTCTTTCCTCTCTTTCTTTTACATCTTTCTGCATTGGCTCAATGTGTCTCATTCTGTATGTTTAGTCCATCACCTTTCTGCCAAGAGTCATTGCTACTAAGCCTATACTCCAGAAAGATCAAAGAAAAAGGAAAAGGATTGAAATGTACTAAAATATTTATAGCACCTTTATTTTAACTTAAAGAAAATCCTGAACTTAACAAACAAAATAAAATGGCTAATTCCATGTCTATATGTATTTTCATGTGCATGCAATCGTCCAACAGAGAAAGAGGCTTGTTCATGAAAATGTAGGTCTTAATTATAATAAATTCAACAGGTAACTTTCAGAATTGTCTTCCTTTTCTATCATTTTGGCATTCCTTCTATTCTCTTCTGTGCATTCAAATTCTTTAGTGATGTAATTTTCTTTTCTTTTTTTTTTTAAGCTATCCTATCCATAGTCACCATTCTCTCTCGCTTCTCCACATTGAAAAAATTCCTTGTAATAAATTTGCACAGTCATGTAAAAACAGATTTCCACACTGGCCATTTCTGAAAATGTATGGCTTATTCTGAATTTTGAGGCCAAACACCTCTCTCCCAGGAGGTGGCTGGCATTCTGTATCCTCAGTCTTATGGAGTCCCAACAGCCCCACTGAAAATATAATGAAACCAAAACTTAGAAGTTAAACGACTTGCCCAGGGTAATTCATAACTAGCATGCAGAAAAGCCACATTTTGGACTGACCCTAACTTCAATTTCTTTCTACTACATTGTGGTATTACTTCTTATTTCCAAGCTAAGTGTTTCCTAGGTCCTTCCTTCTGCCTAATGTCCCCACCCTTCAGAAAGAATGAAAGAGGAGAGAGGAGGAAGAGGAGGGAGGAGAGAAAGAGGAGGAGGGGGAGGGGAGAGAAAGAGAGAGAGAGAGAGAGAGAGAGAGAGAGAATTTGGAAACACTTTCAAATGACCTGAGTAAAAAATTTGCTTTCCCATTTCCCTCTATCAATATATGGTATTTTTAAATATTTTGTTCCAAAGCATATATTACAATTCATGTTAAACATTTTATTTTCTATCATTGTTTTGGTCATAGTATGAATGATCACCTTCCCACCTCCACCCCTCTCCCAAAGCCCAGCACTAAAGTTGTGGTACCTGGAACAAAAAACAGACTTTGGGAGCACGATTCATTTCTAACCTGGTCTTAAGTGCAAAGAATATATGAAATACTATGAGTTCTTGGTCCCCGACTTTTTTTCTCTGTTTATCTACATTTACAATTTTATGATATTTGTGGAACAGATTTATTTGACAAGGTATTGCCTTCCTTGAATTCCACCCCCCACTTGCCCTTGCCCTCTTCCTTGAAAAAGGAGATAGAGAAAACTGCCATCACCCCAACCACCCTCATTGTTCTCTGGGAAGGATAAAGTGTCCTAACATTTGTTTTCACTGCAGGATATCTAAACGTGCTCTCGAATAACCGCTGGAGGGAACGTTGGTGCAGAGTGAAAGATAATAAGCTCATTTTCCACAAGGATAGGACGGACCTGAAGACCCACATTGTTTCCATTCCTCTCCGCGGCTGTGAAGTGATTCCAGGCTTGGATTCCAAACACCCCTTGACATTCCGTTTGCTTCGAAATGGGCAGGAAGTCGCTGTACTAGAGGTGCGGTATGTGTGAGGGGCCGGGCTTCACAGGGCTGCATGCCAGATAACATTTCCCTGCTGAGAGACAGGCTCAGACTCAGCTGCTGATCCAAATTCTTCACATTCTGACCTGCTCACATTTTTGCTCTGTTTTTCTGCCTTTTGGCCTTGTCCTTTTCACTCTGGTCTGGTTGCTTTCATAGGTGCTGTACTCTGTCTACCTCTCCTATACCCGATCCACCTTTGAAAGAGCATGACCTGAATTCAAATCTGGCCTCAGACACTTACTAGCTATGTGACCCTGGGCAAGTCACTTAACCCTAATTGCCAAAAAAAAAAAAAAAGAAAGAAAGGAAGAAAGAAAGAAGAAACGTGAGGAAGCATATTTAGAAACTGTTCTTTCAAATAGCGTTTATGAAACCTGTTGTGCCAATGATTTAGTTCTATGTTCGTTGGCTGGTGTGGGGGCACAGCTCTGTTCGTTGTGTTTGGCCTGCCAAGTCTATGCATTCAGTCATTTGTCAACAAATTCTGTCAACAAATATTTAATAAGCACTCACTTTGTACAAAACACTTTACTAGGAGTTGGGGGTACAATGGTAATTGTTAATTCACCCCTTGTCTTTAAGGATATGAAGCTAGGTGGCTCAGTGGGTAGAGTGCCAGGCCTGGAGTAAGGAAGACTCTTCTTCCTGCTTTCCAATCTGGCCTCAGACACTTTACTAGCTGTGTGACCCTGGACAAGTCACTTAACCCTGATTGCCTCAGTTTCCTCATCTGTAAAATGAGCTGGAGAAGGAAAGGGCAAACCATTCCAGTATCTTTGCCAAGAAAACCCCAAAGTGGGGTCATGAAGCGTCAGACACAACTGAAACAACTCCATAACAACAATCTTCAAGGAGCTTATATGTCATACAATACGTACCTTTATTAAACATCTACTATGAGCAGTGCAATGTGAGAAAGAAGGTACAAATCAATTATAGATGATACCTTTCTTCATGGAGTTTCTAGTCTGATAGGGAAAAATAAGGCAGATGCAACTAGGTGACACAGTGTATGGAGCATTGGACTTGAAGTCAGGAAGACCTGAGTTCAAATCTTGTTTCAGGTGTTTGCTAAGTGTATGACTTTGGGCAAATCATACAACCTTTCTCAGCCTCAGTTTCCTAATCTGTAAAATGTGGATAATAATTATGACCTACCTCACTGTGTTGTGATGAGGATCATATGTAGGAGATGGTATGCATAAAGCATTTTCCAAACCTGAAAGCCTTATATAAATAGTATGATCTCAGTTGTGTGAATACTTTCTTTACTAGTACAAATAGCCGCCTGCTCATTGGACCTCAGATCCAACATTTAAACCCAAGCCTCTCTTTTTACAGAATAAGAAACCCAGAGAGTTTTAAATAGCTTACAAATTCTTGCACAAGGAGTAAAAGAATGAGCCGGGATTTGATCCCAGAGCCTCTGACTCTAATCCAGCATTCTTTCCACTATACTCCCTGGTATAATTTTTGCTTTTGTATTTCCATAAAGAGAATTAGGGAAACTGTGCTATCTGAAAGACTGTTAAGTGAAAGAAGGATCTAACCTGTTCTGCTTGGCTTCAGAGGATAGAACCAGAAACAATGATAGGTGGGAGTTATAGAGACCCAGGTTTAGGCTCAACATGATGATTAGAGCTGTCCAACAGTGGATTGGGGTAGCTCATGGCTAGTGAGTTTCCCATCACTGAAAGCATTCAAGAGGAGGGTCTAGGACTCCTTGTCAGAGATGTTGTAAAGGAGACTTTTCTTTAGGTTTGAGTTTGACTAGATTCAGTCTGTATCTGAGGGAGCTCTCATGCTACTGAAATCACAGATCCTTAAGTATGGGTCTCCAAAAACCATAGAGGTAGCTATTGGCTAAGGAGAAAGGATTAACATTTTTTTTTTTACTTTTAGGTCCCTTCTAGCTCTTTTATCTTATGATCTTGAGATTCCGTAGTCTCAACTAGAGGTGAGAAAAATAAGGCATCAAAACCCATGCTTGGATGACAGTGGATTCAGCAAGACTAAGACAGGTCAAACCTAGGAATTGAGACCCACTGTCAGAATTAACTAATTAAACAAAGACTAGACATCTGAACATAGAAGCAAGACCAGCAGCTGCTTAGGGCAGGGCCCACCCTTAGCTTTGAACACTGACCATTGATCCATGGGAAGGAAAGAACAGGCAGATTGTGACTGATGATGGCTAAAGGGAGAAACGGGGCCCCAGACCTAGGCTGTCTCTCCGAGGAAGGCCAGGGTTTTCTTAGGCATTTATTTGGTGAAGCTCTAAGTACTGGCCAATGTAGACAGATGGGAAGTTAAGCATCAGGGAGGTACGAAGATCCCCAGTCAGGAGGTGGCCCAGGTTCAGGGGCAGAAATTCAGCCACTAAGTGGAACATGGTAGGGGAGAATGATGCAAATCACTTCCTCTCTAGGTGCTGGATTTCTTTTTTTGTAAAAGTAGGAAGGCAGACTAAATAATCCTTAAGGTCTCATTTTCTTCTAAATACAAGGTTTTTAAACTTTTTGACTATCATGGGCCCCTTCTCAGAATAATGTTTTTAAATGCAAAAACTTAGGATTACCAAGTAAATCAGTTATATAGAAATAGTTTTATATATATATTATATATATATATATATATAACATATATAGTATATTATTATTTTTTTTTGTGTGTATATATATATATATATATATATATACACATTTCACAGACCATAGTTTAAGAACCTCCATTCTCATTCCTATGAGCCATTAGACTCCCCAGTATAATATAAGCACCTTGAGGACTGGGAATAATTTTGTCTTTATCTTTTGCTTAGTACACAGTAGGTTTTTAATAGCTGAATTGAATTGAATTCGCTCAATCCTTGGTAAATAACTCTAGCAAGAACATCATGGCTCACTGCACAGGATATTGCACTCAGAGTCAGAATCTCTTTATTTGCTTTCCAGTTCTGCCACTTAACTTTTCCTGTGATCTCATGTAGATTGACTTACCTCTTGAGGATTCTGTTTCCTAATCTGTAAAATGAGCCTGAACCTGAGCCCAGGATTTTGAGGCTATACTAACCCAGATGAGAGCAAAGTCAAAAACCAGTTGAGAACTTTGAAGGCAGCAGATCTCAGAAAGGTTGTTTGGGTAAAGGGAACAGGTATTGGTAGTAGACTGCATGGAAGGCAACAGGGGGTGGCACAGGGCAGTGAGGGAGACTGGTGAACATCACCCCAAGACTTTGATCTGGGGAGATAGGCAAATTGTAAAAGGAATAGTCACTAAACTCATAAGTAAACTGAAGAGTTTTAAAAAAAAATCTAGATTGCCATTTAGCGTTGTTTTAGATAAATACCAGTTTTATGATTTTCCTTGCACCATGCAATTTTATATGGCAATTTCTTTAGGATGTAACAAGTCCTTGAAAAGTGGCATTTTTATAACCACCTTCTAGAAATAAAGGTCCAGTCTCAGAACGCTCAGATGAATGGATATGCTTCTCCAGTCCTAAGTGGTTGATCAGCATCTTGAGTGATGGCAAGAGTTTAAAATTTGATCAATATCTCCAGTGGTTAAAAGCAAGTGTTTTTGTCAGAGATCCTCAGCACCAGCGTAAGCAGGCTTTTTTGAACCAGTTCTATTTTTTCCCAATGATAAAAAGCAATCAAAGCCAAAAACTCCCTCCCACCCAGAGCTATTCTCTATGCAAAGGCTAGACTGGTATTTTGTAATGTCTACTCTTAAAACTTCCCCAGTGGTGGTAGAAGCAAGCACCCTGGACTTGGAGCTAGGAGACCTGGGTTTGGGTCCTAGCTCTGATACTTCCAAACTCTCTGACCCTGGATAAGTCACTTTTCCCTGGGTGTCAGTTTCCTTACCTGTATAATGGGGATCATAATAATATTAATGCTTTGATTACAGTACCAATGATAGTAAACATTTACTAAACACCTACTATGTGCCAGGCACCTGTGCTAAGAGCTGGGGATACAAGAAAAGGCAAAACGTAGTCCCTGCCCTCAAAGAGCTTAGAGTCTAATGGATAGACCAGGGTTGGGGAATCTGCGGCCTTGAAGGCACACGTGACCCTCTGGGTCCTCAGATTCAGTCAAAGGGCCACACTTGAGGACCTAGAAGGTCACATGTGGCCTTGAGGTCACAGATTCCCCACCCCTGGGATAGACTGTCTCTTTTTTTTATCAGAGGACACACTTTGCTTGATTATACAAAACTAATGACAAGTCATTCATAGGCATGAGTGTTGAAGCTTTTGGCCACAATCTTTGAAAGACTGTGTCTGCTAAAGGAGAAAGACTGCAATTTGCCTCGGTTGAAGCAATAATTTAACCAATGAAATCACAGATCCCTGAAGTGTTGAATTAAGTTTTATAGGCAGGATGCTTGAATTTTGCCTGCAAAACAGAGAAATGAGATAACCACATTGATCACAAATTTAGAGTTCAAAGGTGATGGTGCTAGAAGCAAGTAAAAAGCCCCGTGAGATGCGTATTGACTTGGAAAACCACAAATTAATATTATCTGTGTTTCATTTTGTTTTATTTTATTTTAAATATTTCCCCAGTTGCATTTTAATCTAGTATGGGCTGGACAGGGAATATTGTGGGCAGACTTCTTTATGCCTCTTTAAGGGACGTTGGAGATTATCAGGCCCAACCCCTGCATTTTACAGGTGAGAAAACTGAGGTGATCAAGTATAACACCTGAAACCTCATCATTGCCCGCCCCCCTCCTCATTTTATTGTCATTTTATTGGCGTAGGGAATTTCTGATGAAGGAACTCCCTCTACTGATAGAGATTTGCAAGTGCTCTGTAATTTATAATACTAGAGAATTGTTTGGGCACTGAACTTGTAGCCTAGGGTTTCACAGCCAATATGTGTCAGAGTCTGAGTTCTTCCTGACTCTGAGAACAGGACTGTATCCCCTATGCTACAATGCTTCTCCAGATCTAAATCGTGCT